TCCCATGAGGAGTTCACCATGGTCCGGCGCCACACTCCCTCTCTCACAGTACTTTCCCCTGACCTCCTCGGCGCCCTACTCCTTAGCGCGATCCCCGCTCCCACCATCTTCGTCCCCTCCACTTTCCAAGAGGCTATCACCTGCCCTGACGCCGATAAGTGGATAGCCGCCATCTTTCAGGAATGTGAAGCATTCATCCACAATAACTCCTTCATTGACGTTCCCCTCCCTCCTGACGCCAACCTGGTTGAGGGCAAGTGGATCTTTCGAGTCAAGCAGCTGCCGGGAGAAGAACCAGTCTACAAAGCCCGCTACGTTGCCAAGGGGTTCACCCAGACCTGGGCTGAGGACTACTGGTTCACGTTCGCCCCCACCGTCAAGCAGGCCACCCTACGCACCCTTCTTGACATCGGTGCAAGAGACGACATGGAGATTGACTCCATGGACGTCTCCAACGCTTTCCTGCAAGGTGAACTGCACGAACGCATCTTTCTCCGCCGACCTCCCGGGTTCCATGCTAAGTTCCCCGACAACACCGTCTGGCAGCTGAAGCGACCGGTCTATGGCCTGAAGCAGGCACCACGAGAATGGCATGCGAAGCTATCTGCTACTCTCCAGTCCCTTGGCTTCTCCCCCTCCCACTCCGACGCCAGCCTCTTCATCCGCTCTTCCCCCAGTCGCTTTTTCATCTCGGTCTACGTTGACGACATGATCCTGCTGGCGGATTCTAGGGCGGACATGGACCAGATGAAGCGGTCACTTCAGGAACGACTCAAGTGCAAGGACCTTGGTCCCCTCCAGAACTACCTCGGCATGGCTATCACCCGTGATCGATCCGCCCGCACCATCACTCTCTCCCAGTCCCACTACATCGGCCAGGTCCTGGAGAGGTTTGAGATGGCGCAGGCCAAACCAGTCTCCACCCCCCTCCCCTTCGGTCACCAACTTGCGCCACCCACCTCCCCCTCCTCCTCCTCCCGGCCCTACGCCGAGCTCGTTGGGTCGCTGATGTACGCGATGATGTGCACCCGCCCCGACCTCGCCTACCCTGTCAGCGTCCTTGCTCGGTTCGTCGGCCCTGGACGTCACACTGAGGAACACTGGGCTGCCGCCAAGCGGGTCCTTCGCTATCTCTGCGGCACCAAGGATCACGCTCTCACACTGGGTGGATCCTCCCCTCCCCTTCTCTCGGGCTTCAGTGACTCCTCCTGGGCAGACAATCAGCCAGACCGCCGCTCCTCCCAAGGCTATGGCTTTACCCTCGGCAGCGGACTTATCAGCTGGCGTTCCACCCGCTCCTCCGCCATCGCTCTCTCTTCCTGCGAAGCTGAGCTCTATGCGGGCACCATGGCCGCTCAAGAGTCCCGCTGGCTCTGCTTTCTTCTGGCAGAGCTTGGTGCCCCCCAGCGCTGTCCCACGCTCTGGTGTGACAACGCCAGCACCATCCACCTCACCCAGGATCCAGTCTTTCATGGTCGCTCCAAGCATATCGAGCTCCGTTATTTCTTCATCCGCGACCTCGTCCGACAGAATCTTATCGCCGTCCGCAAGATCGCCACTGAAGCCAATTTGGCGGATATCTTCACCAAAGCACTTCTTCGCCCCGCGCACTCTGCTCTCCTCCGCCTCATTGGCCTCGCTCCTCCAGGAGCGCCTTGATTCAGGGGTTGCTGCTCTCCAGCCTTTCCGCATCTCTGCAGGTTAAGGGGTTGTGTTAGAATATCTCCTCTCTTGTAACCTGCATATATGCTATAGGATAGGCTAGAGATAAGCACCCAAACTTAGTTTGGGTGTACAAGCAGGGGTTACCCAATTTGTAGGTTGGAAACCCAACCTTGGTCCAATTATTGGACCCCAAGGGTTGGGATGGGTAGAATTATTGGTCCCCTCCAATAATGTTGGCCCAACTCCAACTTGGCCAACATTATTGGACCCCACCAATAATCTCCCAACCCAACTCCTTGGTTGGGGTCCAATAATGTTCACCTAGGCTAGTTTCCAACTCATCTCCTATGTAAACCCCCCATCCTTTCAATCAAACCAACAACTTCTCTTCTACCTTTTCTTCTCACAATCCAGCCCTCCTCCCCCTTCCCCCTCGCTTCCTCCTCCTTCGGGCCTTCCAGCCCACCTCCCCCTTCCCCCTCGCTTCCTCCTCCTACGGGCCTCCCAGCCCTCCTCCCTTCGCCGCCGCAGCTCTCCCGCTGCCGCCGCCGTTCCCTTCGCCGCCGCGGCTCTCCCGCTGCCATGGCCATTTCACCGCCCTGCCATCTCGTGGTCGCCAACGCTTCCTAACCCACCTCGTAGTGGCCTGCTCTGCCACCTCCCGCTGCCGCCGCCGTCTCCCTTCCTCACCTGCAGCAGCCCCCCCTCCCTGCTGGTGTGCGACCTCACCGCCACAGCACCTTCGGCTGGCTTGCTTCCTCACCTGCAGCAGCCCCCCCTCCCTGCTGGTGTGCGACCTCACCGCCACAGCACCTTCGGCTGGCTTGCTTCCTCACCTGCAGCAGCCCCCCCTCCCTGCTGGTGTGCGACCTCACCGCCACAGCACCTTCGGCTGGCTTGCTTCCTCACCTGCAGCAGCCCCCCCTCCCTGCTGGTGTGCGACCTCACCGCCACAGCACCTTCGGCTGGCTTGCTTCCTCACCTGCAGCAGCCCCCCCTCCCTGCTGGTGTGCGACCTCACCGCCACAGCACCTTCGGCTGGCTTGCTTCCTCACCTGCAGCAGCCCCCCCTCCCTGCTGGTGTGCGACCTCACCGCCACAGCACCTTCGGCTGGCTTGCTTCCTCACCTGCAGCAGCCCCCCCCTCCCTGCTGGTGTGCGACCTCACCGCCACAGCACCTTCGGCTGGCTTGCTTCCTCACCTGCAGCAGCCCCCCCTCCCTGCTGGTGTGCGACCTCACCGCCACAGCACCTTCGGCTGGCTTGCTTCCTCACCTGCAACAGCCCCCCCTCCCTGCTGGTGTGCGACCTCACCGCCACAGCACCTTCGGCTGGCTTGCTTCCTCACCTGCAGCAGCCCCCCCTCCCTGCTGGTGTGCGACCTCACCGCCACAGCACCTTCGGCTGGCTTGCTTCCTCACCTGCAGCAGCCCCCCCTCCCTGCTGGTGTGCGACCTCACCGCCACAGCACCTTCGGCTGGCTTGCTTCCTCACCTGCAGCAGCCCCCCCCCCTCCCTGCTGGTGTGCGACCTCACCGCCACAGCACCTTCGGCTGGCTTGCTTCCTCACCTGCAGCAGCCCCCCCTCCCTGCTGGTGTGCGACCTCACCGCCACAGCACCTTCGGCTGGCTTGCTTCCTCACCTGCAGCAGCCCCCCCCCCTCCCTGCTGGTGTGCAACCTCACCGCCACAGCACCTTCGGCTGGCTTGCTTCCTCACCTGCAGCAGCCCCCCCCCCTCCCTGCTGGTGTGCGACCTCACCGCCACAGCACGTTCGGCTGGCTTGCTTCCTCACCTGCAGCAGCCCCCCCCTCCCTGCTGGTGTGCGACCTCACCGCCACAGCACCTTCGGCTGGCTTGCTTCCTCACCTGCAGCAGCCCCCCCTCCCTGCTGGTGTGCGACCTCACCGCCGCAGCACCTTCGGCTGGCTTGCTTCCTCACCTGCAGCAGCCCCCCCCTCCCTGCTGGTGTGCGACCTCACCGTCACAGCACCTTCAGCTGGCATGCCGCGTCATTCGCCGCATCTATTACCGGGTCCTCGCTTTAGGGGTTGTTTGGTCTAGCCATTCTCATGCTAAGGGGTTGTGTTAGAATATAGCATGTATATGGCTAGAACTAATAGTGTACACCCAAATCATGGGTGTACACATTGAGGTGGTCTCCCAACTTTTGGTTGGGTTTCCACAACCCAGGCGACCATTATTGTTGGGGAGCCAACATTGGTGGCCAACCCCTCCAATGTTTGGCCCCTCCAATAATTGACTCAACCTCAATTATTGGGCTGGACCCTCACCACATTGGTCAACCAATAATGGTGTGGGGTAACTCTGATTTTGGTCACTCTTCCCATTCCCTATTTGTACTGCTCTTCTTTATCAATATACCAACTCTTGAGTTCACCCCCTAATCCCAACTATGGGATTCTCACACCGAATCCCCTTGGAAATTTTTACTTTAGCAGGGCAGCTAAAGAAACAAATTTCTGCCCGCAAACGTAAACTCATTCCAGCACCTCGCGCGTAACGTAAAACGTACGTAAACGTAAGCGTAATATCCAACTTAGCTGCTACGTCCTCTCTGCCTCCCGCTACCCCTATGCAGTGCAGCGGCTGGAGGAGGCGACGAAGCAGAAGGCGCACAGCATTCACAAGCTGCTGGGGTACTGCTCTAATGCTGCCGCGGACCATCATCCCGGTGCTGCTGCTGCTGCCATGGGTGGCGCGCGTGTGGGTGGGGCGGGCAGTGGCGTGGCGGGCAGAGGCGTGTGATGATGCACAGGCAACGACCTGCCGTTGTTCACCTCTTCACCCACAACATGGATAATTCCCTCAAGGTGCGCACCCCTCAACGCGCCAAGCCACACAGATCCATCACCGATCAAGTCGCTGCCTCCGTCCTGCCTGCGGACTTGTCCAGCTGCTGTATTCTCTCGCCTCACTTGGATTCGTTCATTCATGCCACGGTGCGTGTGTGGCATGGCATGTGTGGCACGGCATGTGTGTAACGGCATGTGTGTGTAACGGCGTGTGTGTATAACGGCATGTGTGTGTCACGGCATGTGCGTCACGGCATGTGTGTGTCACGGCATGTGTGTCACGGCATGTGTGTAACGGCATGTGTGGCACGGCATGTTTGGCACGGCATGTGTGGTACGGCATGTGTGGCACGGCATGTGTGGCACGGCATGTGTGGCACGGCATGTGTGGCACGGCATGTGTGGCACGGCATGTGTGGCACAGCATGTGTGGCACAGCATGTGTGGCACAGCATGTGTGGCACAGCATGTGTGGCACGGCATGTGTGGCACGGCATGTGTGGCACAGCATGTGTGGCACAGCATGTGTGGCACAGCATGTGTGGCACAGCATGTGTGGCACGGCATGTGTGGCACGGCATGTGTGGCACGGCATGTGTGGCACAGCATGTGTGGCACAGCATGTGTGGCACGGCATGTGTGGCACGGCATGTGTGGCACAGCATGTGTGGCACAGCATGTGTGGCACAGCATGTGTGGCACAGCATGTGTGGCACGGCATGTGTGGCACGGCATGTGTGGCACGGCATGTGTGGCACGGCATGTGTGGCACGGCATGTGTGGCACGGCATGTGTGGCACGGCATGTGTGGCATGGCATGTGTGGCACGGCATGTGTGGCACGGCATGTGTGGCACGGCATGTGTGGCACGGCATGTGTGGCACGGCATGTGTGGCACGGCATGTGTGGCACGGCATGTGTGGCACGGCATGTGTGGCACGGCATGTGTGGCACAGCATGTGTGGCACAGCATGTGTGGCACAGCATGTGTGGCACAGCATGTGTGGCACGGCATGTGTGGCACGGCATGTGTGGCACGGCATGTGTGGCACGGCATGTGTGGCACGGCATGTGGGGCACCGCATGTGTGGCACAGCATGTGTGGCACAGCATGTGTGGCACAGCATGTGTGGCACAGCATGTGTGACACAGCATGTGTGGCACAGCATGTGTGGCACAGCATGTGTGGCACAGCTTGTGTGGCACGGCATGTGTGGCACGGCATGTGTGGCACGGCATGTGTGGCACGGCATGTGTGGCACGGCATGTGTGGCACGGCATGTGTGGCACGGCATGTGTGGCACGGCATGTGTGGCACGGCATGTGTGGCACGGCATGTGTGGCACGGCATGTGTGGCACGGCATGTGTGGCACGGCATGTGTGGCACGGCATGTGTGGCACGGCATGTGTGGCACGGCATGTGTGGCACGGCATGTGTGGCACGGCATGTGTGGCACAGCATGTGTGGCACAGCATGTGTCGCACGGCATGTGTGGCACCGCATGTGTGGCACCGCATGTGTGGCACAGCATGTGTGGCACAGCATGTGTGGCACAGCATGTGTGGCACAGCATGTGTGGCACGGCATGTGTGGCACGGCATGTGTGGCACAGCATGTGTGGCACGGCATGTGTGGCACGGCATGTGTGGCACGGCATGTGTCGCACGGCATGTGTGGCACGGCATGTGTGGCACAGCATGTGTGGCACGGCATGTGTGGCACGGCATGTGTGGCACAGCATGTGTGGCACAGCATGTGTCGCACGGCATGTGTGGCACGGCATGTGTGGCACCGCATGTGTGGCACAGCATGTGTGGCACAGCATGTGTGGCACAGCATGTGTGGCACAGCATGTGTGGCACGGCATGTGTGGCACAGCATGTGTGGCACGGCATGTGTGGCACGGCATGTGTGGCACGGCATGTGTCGCACGGCATGTGTGGCACGGCATGTGTGGCACAGCATGTGTGGCACGGCATGTGTGGCACGGCATGTGTCGCACGGCATGTGTCGCACGGCATGTGTGGCACAGCATGTGTGGCACGGCATGTGTGGCACGGCATGTGTGGCACGACATGTGTGGCACAGCATGTGTGGCACAGCATGTGTGGCACGGCATGTGTGGCACGGCATGTGTGGCACAGCATGTGTGGCACAGCATGTGTGGCACAGCATGTGTGGCACAGCATGTGTGGCACAGCATGTGTGGCACAGCATGTGTGGCACAGCATGTGTGGCACGGCATGTGTGGCACGGCATGTGTGGCACAGCATGTGTCGCACGGCATGTGTGGCACAGCATGTGTGGCACGGCATGTGTGGCACGGCATGTGTGGCACAGCATGTGTGGCACAGCATGTGTGGCACGGCATGTGTGGCACAGCATGCTCCTCAACTCCATGCGTGCCCCACACACCCGACTTCTTTCACGGCTGCCATGCGTTGGCAAACTGGGGGGCCGAGGGGGACAGCTTAGGAAGTGAGGAGGGGAAGCGGACTGGCTAATTGCTACTTATGATCTATAAGCGGAGGTACTGAAACGAATTTTCCCCGCAACATACGACCCGCCCTCCCCCTGGCAGCATCTGCACTCTGCAGCAGCTGTTGAACTCGGAGTGCAGCAGCAAGAGGGAGCTCAGTGTGGGGCCAGGCATGGTGTTCCGAGAGGGCGATCGAGTCATCCAGCTGGTGAGTCGCTCACCTGGTGAGTCATACAGCTGGTGAGTCGCTCACCTGGTGAGTGATACAGCTGGTGAGTCACTCACCTGGTGAGTCATACAGCTGGTGAGTCGCTCACCTGGTGAGTCATACAGCTGGTGAGCCGTTCAGCAGGTGCGTTGTTGAGAAATTCCACAAAGGTATTTATGAGAATTCTCATAAATACCCTGCCCTTCTGCTTGCCTCTACCAGAGCTCGTGGTTTTGCTGATGCCTCTTGTGCTCCCTTTCACCTAATCCGGGTGCTCCCAGTGTGCATGCCGGCCCTCTCCAAGGTCCCTCCCATGCTCCCTCCCACCTTGTCCCCATGTGTGTGAGTGTGTGAGAGAGCGAGTGAGAGCAGGTGGAGGTCCATGTGGACATGCTATCGGGCAGCACCGCCGCCCCACAGTGAGTCATTTACACCAACGACCATTCCAACCACCTCATTCAAGCATGGGTGCACACAATATGTTTCTCACCCTACTCTATTCCTCATGCTCCTTCTCCCCCTCCCCCTCCCGCTTTTGTTTACTTCTTTCCCTCACACTTTCCCACACCTCTTTCCAGTTCTATGTCTCCCCCTGGCGATGCACCCCCGTGTCCTGCTTCACACGTCCAGTTTATCTTGTCAAGTGCAGTCTCGCCTCTTTCTTCCTCTTTCTATGTGCCGCTGAGATGCGCCATCTCCGCACCACCTCATTGTGTGGCCCCCGATGCCTGTGTGTGTGCTGTTGGTGCTGACAGACCATCACGGTGCACAAGGCACAGGGCAGTGAGTACCCCATCGTCATCCTCCCACTCTCCGCTGACTACGACAGACAAACTTCTTCTGGTCTGCTCCATGCACCTTGCACCTATACCCAACCATCCCTCTGTGCCACTCCACTGCGCACACGAATTTCCTGCCCCGTTATTCCTCGCCCATGCCCACAACTCGTGCATCCCATCCGTCCCTGCCGGCATGCCCTGCACCACGTGCGCCTGCCCCAGTTGCAACCTGCTGCACATGGGGCTCCCGCGTGCGCGCAAGTTTGCCATCCTCATCGGCCGAGAGGAGGAGGCAGATGACAGCGGTGCACCGCACGCGGCAGGAGCACCGCCACACACGCCTGCTGCACCGCCTGCTCGAGTACTGGCAGTACTGCAATGGTGACTCCACACACGGCCCCTTGTGACCCTCTCACTACCCAAGGACTCGTAAACACCCATTCCCTGTAGTGGAGTAGGCAAGGGAAGGAAGGGGGATAAGGTATACAACTTCAAATATCAGGCAGGCTCTTGAGGTTTAGCCAACTAGTGTAAGCCTTCATATTCTTGCACCGTGCTCATGCACATGGCTCTTTCTAATGATTTCCCTCTTGATGCACACTTGCTTGCATACCGTGTTACAACTAATTGGATTGATTGATAGCACTACGTGTCAGTATGAGGAATGGGTGATGCATTGATGTTGGTTGGGGTACATATAGCTAACCCTAAGTTTTGTACCCCCTAAGACAAACCTCACTATAGGCTACAACATTTGACACACCCCCATAGCCTAAGTGAGGGGTGTCTAGCAGAACCAAACGAGTACGGTCACAAGACCAGTCCAAGAAACGAAGCTCAGGGTGGATCACAACGTCACCACACAGTCTGAGCACAAACAACAGTGGCCACAAGGCCAGTCCAAGAAGTAACAGAGGTATATAGAAAGCAAAGTAAACAGTACACTCAAGTCTAAGCAACACGAGAACCAGTGTCAACAAGGCCTAACTGCACACAGCACCTCTGGTGGTCACAAGGCGGAAGCGCCTTGGTGAAGATGTCTGCAGTGTTGGCCTCGGACTCCACAAACTCAAAGCGAGCCTGTCCACGCCTCTGCAACTCTCGCAGAAGAAAGTACCTGACGTGAATGTGCTTCACTCTGCTCTCCAGTCGTGGCTCTCGACAAAGGAGAATAGACGCCTTGTTGTCAGTGAACAAGGTCGGTGCAGAGCTCGGCCGCTCACCAAGGTCGGTGAGCAAGAAGGTCAACCAACGCAGCTCCTGTGCCGCCATGGCACCAGCGTAGATCTCAGCCTCAGCTGTAGAGGTCGAGACCGAAGAGGAGCGCGTGGACCGCCAGGAAACAGCTCCAGAACCCAGGCTGAAACAGTACCCCTGAGTAGACCTGTGAGTCTCAGCGTCGTCAGCGTAAGAGGAGTCACAGTGACCAGTAAGTACGACAGACTGCTGCCCTCCAAGAACTAGCCCCACGCCTGACGTCGTCGCTAGGTACTTCGCCACCCTCACAGCTGCTGTCCAGTGAACAGGACGGTGTCTCCCTGGCGCAACAAAGCGCGCAAGAACGCTGAGAGGGAAGGCGAGGTCCGGGCGAGTACAAGTCATCAGGTACATGAGGCAACCCACAAGCTCTGCGTAGGGACCACTAGGCTCGAACGGCTCGTCAGGAAAGGGTCCAGTGAGTCTGTGGTCAACAGCAAGAGGTGTGCACTGTACTGTGGAGTGCTGAAGCCCGAACCGCTGAAGGACCTGCTGCACCATGTGCGACTGTGAAAGTGTAATGGTGCGAGCAGCTCTGTCCCTGGTGATCTGCAGGCCAAGGTAGTGGCGCAGCTCACCAAGATCAGTGCAGGTGTGTCTCTTCTGCAGTTCGGACTTCACGTGTGCCAAAGCAACCCTGTCAGGGGTGGCGAAAACAAGGTCGTCAACGTAGACCAGAACAAAGAAAGGTGTGGGGCCACGACGAACGAACAGCGACGGGTCAGCAGAAGACGGCTGGAACCCAAGGTCAGACAGGGTAGAACGCAGGGTGTCGTGCCACTCACGAGGAGCCTGACGAAGACCGTAAACCGGTCGCCTCAGCCTCCACTGGGTCCCAGGAGGGAAAGAGCCAGTGAAGGCAGAGGGACGACGCAACCAGACCTCCTCGTGAAGACTGCCCTGAAGGAAAGCAGTAGAGAAGTCGAGAGAGTGTAACTCGTAGTCTCTCTGTGCTGCTACGTGTAGTAACACCCGAAGAGTGGTCATCTTCGGGGTGGGCGCGAAGGTCTGAAAGAAGTCAACTCCCTCGCGCTGACTGAAACCTCTAGCCACGTAGCGCGCCTTGAAGACCGGAGGAGATCCCGGTGGCCGCTTCACCCTGTAGATCCACATGCCGTCGACTACGTTCGCCCCCGGAGGGGGAACCTCATCGACGTAGGTGCCTGTGGATCTGTAGGAGGCCATCTCTGCGTCCATGGCAGCTCTCCACTGAGAGGCCCAAGGCCCTGACACTGCCTCAGCGTAAGTGCGAGGAGTCGGAATGTCAAGGGCGTCGGGGTCACCCTCAGGGGCGAGGAGCATGGCACAGAGATGAGGGGAAGCGGCCGCCAGGAACTCTAGCTCAAACTGCCTGTCCTCTAGGGCGTCACAGCCAAGGGCAGACACACCCCCGACGGCCAGAGGACTGGAAGGAGGAGCAGCCACAAGAGCGGTGGCGAAGTCAAGGCGGCGGGTAGAGGCAAACTCAGTGACTGCGGCAGTAAGAGCGGACACAGAGGACACAGAGGCACGAGGGTGGGTAACAAGAGAGGCGAGAACACGAGAGAGAACAGGACGGTACGTGCGGTAGTAGTCAGTGACAGGAGAAGGAAGCGACACAGTGAGGGCCGACTCAGGAGGAGACGGAAGCACAGACGGAGACGGACGAGGTGGACGAGAACAAAGGAAGGCTGTACGAAGGTCAGTGAAGGGAACAGGAGACGAGGGACGAGCACGAGGGGAGCGACGAGAGGCCCAAGTCTGAGAAGGAGGAGGAGACAACGAAGACTGAGAACGAGGGAAAACAGCGGGAGAGGGGTCAGGAGGAGGAAGCGGAGGACCAGAGACGGGAGGAGAGGGGGAGGAGGAAGGAGAGGGAGACGGGAGACCAAGGGTCCGAAGACCCGAGACAGGAGGAGGAGACGGCAGCAGCTGCTGCTGCTGCTGCTGCTGCTGCTGCTGCCGCGGCTGCTGTGGCTGCTGCTGCTCCAGCGGCTGCTGCCTCTGCTGCTGCTCCTGCTGCTGCTCCTGCTGCTGTCGCTCCTGCTCCTCGAGCCGCTGCAACTCTCTCTCCTCTCTCTCCAACTCCAGCTGCTCCTCACGAGCACGGCGAACACGAGCCTGGAACCTGGTCGGGTAGGGGTGGGGGGAAGGAGTAGTGTCCGGGGCAGCGGCAGCCCCAGAGTCGACCTCCGAAGCACCAAGCACACCACCCCCAGAGGCAGCACCAACACCAGCTCCAGACCCAGGCTCTCCAGAAACCGAAGGGACACCCTCACCCCCAGACGCAGCACCCCCAGACTCCGCACCAGCACCCCCAGACTCCGCACGACCAGTACCAGCCCCCGGAAGACAAGAGTCCTCTGCAACCCGCGGCTCAGCTCCAACTCCAGCACCCCCAGAACCAGAGACCTGTACAGGGACAGTCGCAGGACCAACCTCCCGAGAGGGAGCACCTGCAGGAGGCGGCGAGGAAGACTGTGGGGAGGGAGGCTGTACAGGGGGGGCTACCGAAGGGGGAGGGCTAGCCTGAGACACACCAGACGGGGCTGGACCAGGGGGGGGAGGCTGTACCGGGGGAGCAGGCGGGGGAGCGGCTGTCAGGAAGAGGGGGGGAGGAGGAACCAGGAGACCTCGACTGGGGTACCTGACGTAGTACGGGGTGGACTCCTCGAAACGGACGTCACGGGAGTCAAAGAACCGGTGAGAGGGAGGGTGGTAAAAGGTGAAGTCAGAGGAGTCCTCAGGGAAACCAAGGAAGACACAAGGAACGGCGCGAGGCGAGAGCTCTGATACCATGTCAGAATCCCAGCCACTAACCACTGGGATAAAAGGGCTTGTTTATGTAGCGGGTGAGTGCGCCCATAACCCCCCAGGCCGCCGTGCCTGTAACCCTTCCCTAGGATCAATCGGGGATCACCAGTGGACCTCTGACACCCCCCCGCACTGGGATGCCCGAGGTGCACACACCGGGATTCGAACCCGAGATCTTCGCTTTGATACCATGTCAGTATGAGGAATGGGTGATGCATTGATGTTGGTTGGGGTACATATAGCTAACCCTAAGTTTTGTACCCCCTAAGACAAACCTCACTATAGGCTACAACATTTGACACTACGACAAACATTTTGACAATGCATTCGGCGGCTTTTATTCTACGAGTTGGTTTGGTACGGTACATGTAAGTGCCGGCCGCGCACGGCTTCACATGGCAGGTGAAGAGTGTTGTGCCGTGAACCACGGCGAGCTGCCCGTCCATTTCCACGCAATTGGCGCCGCGCTATAGAAGAACATCCTCGGGGAACGCGGGACCTCAAAGTGGTGGGCAATTAAAACGAGACTGCAAAATTGTGACCTCCGGCCCAGCTTGAAATGGCCGCATGGGTCACTCACGGGAATGGGGGGAAACTTACTGTTAGGTCTGACATATCTGTCAAGATAGTAGCTAGAGGTGAGGAGCCATGCTAGGGTGAAGAGGAGAAAGTGACGAGAGAGTTTAGGCAAGGAAAGAGGTGTTTCACTATAGCACACAAGGTACATATAGCAAAGTAACAAAGAAGGTGCACCACCAACTCTTAATAATAATAACTACAGTACCTACAGCACGCAGGGTATATATTAAACATATTGTTTGACACACCCCCTTAGCCTGCGTGCGGTAGAAACTGGTGCAGCCAGCACCCCCTGAACAAGCGCTGTGGAAGAAGGCAGAGAAGTGAGGAAGGTGAGAGGAGAGGAGAGAAGAGGAGAGGAGAGGAGAGGAGAGGAGGTGGGGGGCCAGGACCGGCGGACCCGCTTACGAACCTCCTTTTACAAAGGGGAGGTGAGAGAGGGAAGGGAGAGGAGGTGGGCTAGGCGGGCTTGAGCGCGAAAGCTCATAGCGATCCCCCCCCGTTAAGAACCCCCAAGTCCCGATGAGGAGAGGAGGTGGGCTAGGCGGGCATGAGCGCGCACGCTCAATGCGATCCCCCCCCGTTAAGAACCCCCTAGTCCTCACCCCCCTCGTCACTCAACCCCGTCAACCTCACACCTTCCGCACCTGTCTTCTCCCGCCACCCCCTCACCCTTCTGCACTTCTCTCCCCCCTCTTAACCTCGCTCCTCCCCCCCCCTACAGCAACAAATGCTGAGTGGAGAGAGGAAGAGGGAAGGGAGGGACAGCCTGCTGGAGGTTCACACCCGCCACCCCCACGTCTCCCCTCCCCCCCCCCCCCCCACGACTGAAGCCGCGGAAGGGAGGGCGGGAGGGGGGGCAGCGTGAGCAGCTGCCGGCGCTGGCGCTGGCGGCAATCGCAGCTGCTGGCGGTGGCGCTGGCGGTCCGCGCAGGCACTGGCGCTCACGGCTGGCTGCGGCGCTGGCGCTGGCGCTGGCACTGGCGCTCGCGGCTGGCCGTGGCGCTGGCGTCCGCGCTGGTGAAGGCGGATCGCGGGGCGACGAGGGCCGCGAGGCGACGAAACGGGGTTCGCGGACGACGGGAAGGGGTGCGCCCCGACGACGGAACGCAGGGCGCCGCGGCGACGGAACACGGGGCGCCGCGGCGACGGGAACCGGGCGCCGCGACGACGGAAAGCGGGCGCCGCGGCTACGGGAACGCGGGGCGCCGCGGCGACGGGAATTAGGCGCCACGGCGAACGGGAAAAAAAAAAAAAAAAATAGCGCATTTCGCGCTGTAGTACGGGCGGGCCCATGATTCTTAAAAAAAAAAGAGAAGGTTCCGGGAAAGAACCAGCTCTGTACCATGTCAAGATAGTAGCTAGAGGTGAGGAGCCATGCTAGGGTGAAGAGGAGAAAGTGACGAGAGAGTTTAGGCAAGGAAAGAGGTGTTTCACTATAGCACACAAGGTACATATAGCAAAGTAACAAAGAAGGTGCACCACCAACTCTTAATAATAATAACTACAGTACCTACAGCACGCAGGGTATATATTAAACATATTGTTTGACAATATCTGACGGGAGAAACAAGCTTGTTTAGCAACATGATTGGCCAGCGATTGAGGAAGTCAGAGCAGAGGTTTGCAATTGGTTGCGGCAACTGACAAACGTCGCTCGCAAACCGGCTATGCAGTCACTCACGGAACGCTGGAAACCAATCTACGTGTGAACAGGGTCACAATCCCGGGCACGAGCGTCAATGGACTGCGCGGTCTTTCAAGTTGGGTCCACTCGAATTTCAAGCTGGACTTGGGTTACACGACCCTTTCCGGGCCCGCTAGTTCCCATCGTTAGCTGAATGAACAAAGAAGCTCCGTGGCCGGCTTTAGCGTGAACGTAGCCCCAGGTCCGAGCCTGGATAGATTCTGCCTATTCCATACACACTTTAGACATTCCGTAGGACACTCTGTAGTTCGACCTTGAGTGCACATCACCTCTATTGAGAAACCCTGCAGGGCGTATATCCGCGTTTCTCACCTGTCTCGTCCCCTATGCGTATGTGTGACTGTCACCATATAGTATCCATGCAATGCGTACAATAGCTGAAGAGTCGGGGAATAGCGGAGGTATAGGCGATCCAGCGGCCGGCCCTCCGCGTCAGACCCCAGTCTCGGTCGAATGCAGTGGACGTCTACTTTTGCTAGACTAATTACCGTAACGTCTTTAGCTGTGGACGGCAGCGTGCGAGAGGAATGCGGCTGGGTGTTGGCAATATGAGGGTGAGTGTGCTTGGCGTGTCGAGTTTGCGTAGTATTTTGGTAGGGCGTATCCAGTGTGTGTTGTGTTGCTCTAGGAAACGTTGGGTGGGTGGTCAGTTTGTTGATTGGGAGCGGCGGAACACTGTCGCACTACTGTGCGAAAACCATATGGGCCCGTGTGTGTCTCTGCACATTGGGGCGATGCTTTTGATTGGTCGTGATTCCTGCCCAAACGTTTGGGTACACCAGCCCTGCTAGGTTGCTGTGAAGCTCGATATGTTTCTATCTTATGCAAAAAAGAAGATTCAAGTTGGACCCAACTAGAAGGGGGGGGTCACTATTTTGCCTACTGGCTTTAATTGAATATTAAAAATGAAAAAAAGCACACACACAAGCACACACAAAAACAAATCCTACATACGGTAGACGAGAGTGAAGAAACGTATCTGCCATGGAGCACTGCTAACTACTTTGCACATTGAACATCATTTTCTAAACACATGTTTCCCCAGTCCCAAACTTCCAGCATGCCGCACCAAGTTCACCATCTATACACCCTGCGCTTCATTGTTAAAAGAGTAGATTAGGTTTAGACTAGGGTTTGGGGTAGGAGGGGACTTGAGAGGAACATGTCGAGAGAGTTTAGCCAAAGAGGATGAGTTCACTATTGAGCGAGGTACAAATAGCAAACAAAGCATGCAAAGAAGGTGCACCACCAATAGGTTATAATAACTACACTACACTACAGCTACAGGCAGTTACATATATATTTCAACACTCCCCCATAACTGCCTGCAGCAGGAGTTTGTGCAGCAACACCTCTTGGATGGGTACACCACGAACAGAGAAAACAGCAACAGTAGACAAGAGCAGTGGCAACCGGTGCAGTGGTGACAGATTCTGCTACACCAACCCCTCAGCCAAGGTAGAAGCAACAGGCAAAGGTGCATGTGGCGGCAGGTCGCCTGGAGAGCGGGTGCGTGTGGCGGAACAGCAGGGCTCAACGGCAGCACCTGCCGCTCAACAGCAGAAGACAGCAGAATAAACAGCAGTTGGAGGCAGGGGCGGCAGCAGGAGGTGTCACGATAGCAGCGGGCGGCAGCTGCAGATGCCTAGCTGACTTCCGCTACCGTCTCACCCTCCCCCCCACGGCAGCACACGTGGCAGTGAGAGAGAGAGGAGGAGGGGCGGCTGCTGGCTCGGCAGAATCTCTCTCTCCACTCCTTCACAATCTCCCCCTTTCCCCTCACCCTCCCCCCGCAACCTCTTGCCCCCCTCACGGCGGACCACGCTGAAGGGAGGGGAAGGACGGGCTGCAGGCAACTCACACCCGCCACCCCCACATCCCCCCCCCCCACGGCGGAAGCTGCGGAAGGGAAGGGGGGGCGGCGTTAGCTGCTGCTGGCGCTGGCGTCGTCGCTGGCGCTCGCGCAGGTGCTGGCGACGGGCGCTGGTGCTGGCGCACACGACCGTGCGCGGGTGCGCACGGTCGTACGCAGCTGCGCGCAGCAATGCGCGGCCGTACGCAGCTGCGCGCGGCTGCTGCTGTGTTCGTGACAGAACGGGGCGGGGCAGGCAATGCGCGCGACGAGCAGGGGCAACGGGCGCGACGGGGAGACGAAACGAGGCCGCATCTGACGCCGTCGCGCAGCTCGCCGCCGAGACCGTTTTGTCGGTCGCGACCGTTGCAACCGTCGTAACTACGGTCGCGACGGGGGGCGTGACGAGCGCCATGAGCGGGGGGATACGTGGTGGGCCCATGGGGAAAAAAAAATAGGTCTTAGGACGACCTAGCTCTTAATACCATGTTAAAAGAGTAGATTAGGTTTAGACTAGGGTTTGGGGTAGGAGGGGACTTGAGAGGAACATGTCGAGAGAGTTTAGCCAAAGAGGATGAGTTCACTATTGAGCGAGGTACAAATAGCAAACAAAGCATGCAAAGAAGGTGCACCACCAATAGGTTATAATAACTACACTACACTACAGCTACAGGCAGTTACATATATATTTCAACATTCATCACTACTTTAGTCTCCCCCCAGCCACCGTCATCATAGTCACTGCCCATCTCATCATCATCACCACCACTCTCCTCTTCCCCCCATCCCCATGCCCCTCCGCCCCACTCTTCCCATTCCTCCTCCATATCGCCTTCCTCCTCCCAATCTTCCTCTTCAGAATCCTCTCCCTCCCCCTCCTCTCCCTCCTCCTCCTCTCCCTCCACCTCCTCTCCCTCACCCTCCTCTCGCTCCCCCTCCTCTCCCTCCCCCTCCTTTCGCTCCCCCTCCTCTCCCTCCCCCTTCTCTCCCTCCCCCTTATCTCCCTTCCCCTCCTCTCCTTCCCTCTCTTTTCCCTCCCCCTCCTTTTGCTCCCTCTCCTCTCCCTCCCCCTCCTCTCGCTTCCCCTCCTCTCCCTCCCGCTCTTCTCCCTCCTCCTCCTCACCCTCCCCCTCTTCTCCCTCCCCCTCCTCTCTCCTCGCAGGTACCCTTCTCGTGGCTGGCTGTCGCAGCAATGGGCATTCACAGATGCTGCACTCACGCAGCGTCGGCTTCCTATGGAGTGACGGCGGCACCCGGGCCAGATTCTTGCACGCGCGCAACTCCAGCTCCGCAAGCTTGGGCAGCCGAGTGATGGAATTTGGCAAGCTTCGCAACTGCGTCAGTCCCACGATTTGCAACTTCTGGAGGGAAGAAAGCTTCCAGATGTCAGCTGGAATGACGGAGATTCCAACCTTGACAAGAGAGCAAGATTGCAGCTTGGATAAATTCACGAATGACTCTGGAAGCTGCGTCAGCTTGAAGCAGTCGGTAATCTCCAGCGTCTCGAGCCTTTTCAGCTGCCCGAGAGACTTGGGCAGCTGCTGCATTGCATTGAGTTGAACCAGCTGCAAGACACGCAGCCCTGTGAGCCCCCCAAGGGCCTCCGGCAGTGCTTTCAAACACCTGATGAAGCCAACTTTGAGCGTTTGCAGCCACGAGAGTTGAGAGATGGAGTCAGGAAGAGTGCCAAGCTGGTTCATCTTCAAGATTTTCAGTTGCGTCAAAGCAGACAGACGACCGAGGGATGGACCAAAGGACTCAACACTGAGCTCCTTCAGCCTGAGGCTCTCAAGGGAAGGAAGAAACGCGCGGCTGCTGCTGCTGCTGCCGGTGGTGATCATAAAGCCTTTGGCAGTCCGTATGTACACCTCCTCATCCCCTAGTACCGCCCTTAGCGCACCGCACGCCCGCACTTTCAGCGACCGCAGAGAGGGCAGCTCAAGAAGTGCCGAAGGGAGAAACATCAGGGCGCCCATTCCAATGATTCTGACCACCTCGAGCGCCCTCAGCCGTCCGATTTCCTCTGGCAGGACCGTTACATTAGGGCAATTGCCGACTTCCAGGCTGGTGAGGGAATCAATGCCTGAGAAGGAAGCCGGAAGGGCGGATAGGCGTGGCAGGGAGTCGAGAGACAGCTCCTTGAGGCTCTTCAAGCACCCAAAGCCGTCCAGCAGCGCTCCTCTAAAGTGTTTCGCGTTCCGAATCGAGAGCGTTTCGAGAGATGTCAGCTCGGAGAAGGATGGAGGGAGGCGGGTGAGTGCCGTGCAGCTTAGATGCACATGGCGCAAGGAGCGCATGCCCTTTCCCATCTCCACTGGCAGCCCCGTGAGGAGCGGGCAAGAGTAAACATGGAGGTCTTCGAGTGACGACAGCTGGGTTAAGGAGTCCGGGAGCTGCTTCAGCTGCTTACAGTCCATTAATGCTAGCTTCCGGAGAGCTGTCAACTGCCCGAATGTTTCAGGCAGCTGTGTGAGCTCTTGAAGGCCTCTCAGGGTCAGTTTCTCCAAAGAAACCAGCTGCCCGAACTCCTGGGGCAGAATTGTCAGATGCCAAAAATTATCAAGAGAGAGCTCTTGAAGAGTGGTAATCAGGGCGATGGAATCGGGTAAGGCTGTGAGGCTCATCATGTTCAGCTCGAGTGACCGAAGCACTGACAACTGCCCGAAATCTTCGGGCAGCGCTGAAAGTTGTCTTATGTCCAGGTTGAGTTTGGTGAGCGCAGGCAGGCTGGGAAGAGACACGGGCAGAGTCGTGATATCACTGCAGCGCTGGATGGTTAGAGACTTCAGCCGCTGCAAATGCTCCACATCCGCAACCAGATAGCGCATTCCGCTCGCTTCCACCAAGACGAGGGTTTCGAGTGCCCTCAGTTGACGAAGATCGACCTGCGGCGGTGGAGTAACCTTGCAATTTCGAAACTCCAGGTCGGCGAGAGAAAAAAGCTCGGTGAAACAGGCCGGCAGCTGCAATGTCGAGCAGTCCCTCAAGGAAAAACGGTTCAGAGCGGTAAGCTGCCCGAAAGATTCCGGAAGTGACGCCAAGCGGCACTGGCGAAGCTCCAGCGACGTTAAAGCCGGCAGCCCAAATTGCACAAGTTTTAAAATGATGACGCGAGGGGTTTTTTCTGGTTTGGGTTTTGGCGAGTGATTCCGACTTCGGGCATTTCGTTTTTTTTTCGCCAAACCCAGCCAGCCCACGTATTTCGCCCTGGGGGTTGTGTCAGCACCCGAAAGTTCCAAATTGCAGGTGCGCTGCTTTTCAAAACTTGCTCACTGCACTTCGTCAAGTTTTAAAAGCATGACCCATGCGCCTCGCAATTTGGGACTCGGGCTTTAACGAAACCATATTGCCGAAATCTGCGGGCAAAGCCTCAAGATTGCAGGTGTCCAGCACGAGGGTTCTGAGGGACTGCAACGAGGTCAGTGTGTCGGGAAGACGCGTGACGCTTGTTACGAGGCGCAGGCGCTTGAGCAGCGTGAGTCGGTCGATAGACGTGGGAATGGCAGCATCCGGCGAGCAATTAACATCGAGATCTTCCAGCCGCGTACACCCTTCAAACAGCACAGCAAGGCTCTTCTTAGTTACGTCTCCGCGATTATAAATACGTGACATCGATTCGACACGAAGCTCGGTCAAATGGTGACATGTGGTGGCGAGGTGAGAGAATAAATAATGAGAGGTGGAGGTGAGGCTGTCAGATTTAAGGGATAGCTTTTTGAGGTTAGGGAACGAGGACAGAAGTTGCACGAATCGACCCAGGTCCATACGGAGACACATGGGCAAGTGGAGCTCGTACTGCGTGCGGTATGCGACGCGAAGCCATTTCTTGCACACAAGTGCGTGCTCGAACTGCCCATCAGGTCGAACCAGAAAATAAAAGATCCGTGAAAGCAGCTCCTCCGGTAGCCGCTGGATTGGCGACCCGACTGACATTCTGAAAGGAGAACTGAAGAGAATAATGGCTGTTCGCCTCGGTCAGTCTGCTACTATTTAGATAACCTAACTACTAACTGTTGGTGTACCACAGCACGCTCGATGAGGTAAAAGTGTAGCGCTAGCCCACCCAACAAGAAACCCTTGGGCTTGTCAGTGGCACCGCACTCAACCGCCCGTATTCTCAACCCATCCCCACCATATTCTTCCTTCCATTTGCGAGGGCGAAGATGCTAGGTGCGCTGGCGAACCCAGCGATGTTCACCCACGGTAACATCGTGTCGGATGAGGACGCACATACCCGCACACACCGGCCATCGGGGGAACGAGATGCCATGCCACTGGGTGTGTAATTTCGCAAGGCAAATCCGGTCACTGGGGAGGCGAATCTAGGTGGACTCGTGTTCATTCGCAGACTGGCAGCGCCTGAGCGTGGTCTTCAGTTGTGGTAACACACCAATCAGCAACCTGGATGCAGGATGCAGAAGTTCCCTACCATTCAGGAAAATGACTTTCGGGTTGAAAAGCCAGCGCCCATAGATTTGTACAAACGCATTCATTCCTACATTCCGCTCATCAGCCTAGTACCGTTTTGCATCTCAAATCTGTATGTCACTCAGCGCTCCTCGCTGCTACTCAGCGAGCGGTGACATTCGCGATCTTCACTTCCCCATCCAATTTCGCTTCCTCGTGGGCTTTTGCAATTACACAGGCCGTTTCACACTAGCATCATCCTCGTGATGGGCGAAGAGGCGACGCGAGGAAAGACGGAGATGGAGAAGATGTTATCGGGAGAGCCGTACAACTCATGGTGGGTCTCGCTCCATGTCGCTTGCTTTGCTCCAAGTTTGCGCGAAATGGACAGATTGGCAAGTTCCTCATGTGCCCTGGCACTGCAGGGACCCGCCACTAGTGGAGCTGCGACAGCTGGCGACGCAGCGAACGTCGGCGCTGAATGCGACACCGGCGGGCGAGGTGGAGAAGCGACGCAAGTTGTCGTACGAGCTGCTGGGCGAGGCGGGCGAGAACCTCTTCATCACGTCGCCCTTCCTCTGCGACTATGGCTGCCATATCACCGTGGGTCAGTCACGGACGCCATGTCACCTGCCGCTTGGGCGCGCTCTCACATGCCGTCATGCCTAACGCGCATCATGATGCGCGCACTCCCACCATCCTCTCGGAATTCATCAACATATCCCATCCCCCGCTTTTCGCCTGATTCTTCATGTAAGCCTCAGGTAGGCTACCTTTCCTCTCCCACCTCCCTTCATTCCCTTCCCCCTCCCTTTTCTCAATCCCTCCATCTTACCCGTGCACCCTTTCACTGATCCCATCCACGCACACTCCCCACCACCGGCAGGCCGCAACGTGTACATGAACTTTGGGTGCGTGCTGCTGGACTGCAACCGCATCACCATCGGCGACGACGTGCTCTTCGGCCCCTACGTGCAGCTCTACACGGCAGCGCACCCCACACACCCCGCCACACGGCTTACAGGAGTTGAAACCGCACACGCCATCACCATAGGCTCCAATGTGTGGCTCGGCGGGGGGGTGATTGTGTGCCCTGGGGTTAGTATTGGGTCGCACACGACTATTGGTGCTGGAAGTGTGGTCACCAAGGATATTCCGGGCTGTTGTGTGGCAGTGGGGAACCCATGTAGGGTGATTAAGACAGTCCCTGCCCCTGAGCCCAGAGCAGAGCTGCTGCCCCCTGCAAATGGGGAGGGTGGCACAGACGTGGAAAATGAATAGCAGGAATAGCAGACGTGGCAAATGGTGTGAGGGGGGAGGGTGGAGGGTAGAGGCTTATGGAAACAAAGGCGCTTTACTTCTGAGCCATTGTAATTTGTTATATACACGGACACACATCTGATAGCGCAAAGCGGCCAAATCGCGAATACTGTACATCACGTGAATAGTCACATGATTCACCAATCCAACAAGGCGTTTCAAGAACAAAGTCTCAGGTGGTGAATTTGGAGGTTAGATGTACGGTACAAGCCTTATTTTTATCCTAAGACCCTAATTGTTGAGGTGTACAGCGAGAACAATGTATGAGGCGAATCCACCGTGCACGAATTTGGTTCGAGTTTGGCGCTCAGTTGGGTTCGTCCGGACCTGGGACGAATTCGGTCGACGTTTGGGTGTGCCTGCTCCGCCTCGTTCGGCGAACGCCGTGATCCCCACGCCAGCGGTTTCCCTCCCAGTGTGGTGATCTCGCCCCACCCCGTTCCCCTTCTCCCTCCAGTGTCGTCCACGGCTTATGCCGCCTGCTCGGAAACAGTCACAGCGATCCAGCCAGCCATTGCTGGTAGACCTTTCTCACGTCTGCTCGTACTAATATAGCAGTAAAGATTAGTACTTAACTGTGAGGTTCAACGACTATCCTGCAATCTTCTGTCTGATACGTAGCATTCTAGTTTCAACGTAGCCTTATACGTCGTGATCAGTCTCCCACCTTTGACCATCATGGAGCCAGCCACACACATCCATGACCTTCCTGACGACATTCTTACTAAGATATTTTGGCACTCTGAGCAGCCGATTCCTAGACAAACGGGCAGCGACTGCTCGTGGGACTCCAACCCCTCGATTCCCACCCCGAAGTACCTCTCTGCAAACCTTTCATTCGAGAAGACCATTCGTGAAGAGAAGAAGACTCCGTTACCCATTCCTCCTCCCTCTGCGGACGCGCACCGTATTCTCCTCGTGGCGGCCGTGTGCCGTCGCTGGCGCGGTCTCACTCAGCGTTGCGTCTCCGCGCTTCTCGTCCGAGACAATCTCGTCGTGTCTCGCCAGGCTCTCGCGAGTGCTGTCGCTGCGTTACCGAACCTGACCCATCTCCACCTCTGCGACGGCAGCGTCGAGACTCTCGACGACGCCTTCCTCGCTCACCTCGCGTCGTCATGTCCCAACCTCGCCATCCTCCACGTCGGAACCAGAATTGTGCCTGTGAAGTGTAAAGATTATAATGCCTGTGAATGCGACAAGGACGCGCAACCCATAACAACCGCTGGCCTGGATTTCTTTTTCCGGCACTGCACTCGGTTGGAGCAGCTTTCACTTTACAGCCTCGACAGTTGTGTCCAATTCCCCGCGTCCTTCTTTCAGCTGCCGCATCTGCACACTCTCGCGCTCACAAACGCTTCACCGCTCGAAACTCCCAAATTTGCTAAGCTTACGTCGCTCACCAGCCTGCACCTTGCCTCCAGATATCTCTTAAAACGAGTGGCAAACATCGTTCGCCGCTCACGCATCACCACCTTCTCAAGCTCAGATGAAGCCGTAGCATTTCACCGCGATTCCTTGGTCTCTGCAGACTTCGACATGGCACAGCTGCCTCTACTCAAGCCGTCTGCCACCACGCAGCTGGCTCTGCTCAAGTCGTCAAGGTTCAGGCAGGTGGTCCCGTGTGCCGCCCTAGAGCGGCTTGAGATTGTTATGCAGCGTCCTGATTCCGACACTCCGACCTTTCAAATCGGAGGTCTGATGCCGAGTCTCCGCAAGCTGACAATTCGCCAGAGTCTGCAGCATAATGACCCTAGGCCAATTTATCTAAGCTTCGCTTCATCAACTCTCTTGGAGAGCTTGACACTTACTGAGTGTTACGAAAGATACAAGCCTTCGGTTTATTATTACGACCTGCCGGACGATATCGGCTGCCTGCTTGCCCTCAAGACTCTCGTGCTCCACAGGCTGCAACTCGAGGCCCTCCCGGACGCCCTCTGTCACCTGCCTTCCCTCGAGACATTTGTCCTCGTCGAATGCGCGATCAGCCCGCAGGTCCTCCAGCTGCCCGAAGCTTTCTGCTGCCTCACGTCACTCCAAACCCTCGCCATTGTGAAGATGCCTCGTGTGAGGCTGCCGGAGAATATTGGAGAGCTCTCAAGGCTGCACACGTTGTATTTGAATGGCCTTTACCAGCAGCCGCGACTGCCACTCTCCTTCACCCAGTTGACTTCGTTGACCAGGCTTGAACTGGCCCTGTGCACGATTCAAGAGCTTCCCGAGGACTTGGGGAACCTCACTAACCTGCAGGAGTTGCACATTCGCTCCTGCCCCCGGATTCAGCGGCTTCCAGAGTCCCTCACAAGCCTCTCAAGCCTTGAAACCCTTACGGTTGATGACTGTTTGAAGCTCACCTCGATTCCCAGGAGGCTCGATGGCCTCGGGAGGCTCAAATGGCTGGAGCTGACTGGCTGCCCCGATCAGACTCAACCTCCTGTGTGTCTGCCGATCTCCCTCGAGGTCTTGAGTCTTGGAAACAGCTACCACGTGGCTGATCTGCCAGACGTCTCCGTGCTGCCTTGGCTGAGAAAGCTCTCCTTGAAGCTGGTTGGAGCGCAGGAGAGGATGGCTGTGGGCAGCAGCTTGGCGCGCGTGAAGCAGCTGGAGTTGTCGCTGCAGGAGGAGGCTGTGGAGCTGCCCTTGTCCCTTGCGCTGCTCCCCCAGCTGCACACGCTGGTCATCTGGAACGCGGGGAAGATGCAGCGGCTTCCAAGCGACATGGGATGGGCTGTGGCGCAGCTGAGGGTTGTGCAGATCCACTGTGCGCGGGAATTGAGGGAGCTGCCGGACAGCATTGGCGCTGCATCCCGCCTGCGCCAGCTGCACCTCTTTGACTGCCCCGCCCTGCACCACCTGCCCGCTTCCCTCACCCACCTTGCATGCCTCCACCAGCTGCATGTGGAAAACACCGGCCTGCGCTGCCTGCCCTCAGGGTTTGCCCAACTGACCCGGCTGCGCAGTCTTAGTGTGCGTGGCTGTGTGCGGCTGGAGTGTCTGCCAGAGGATCTCTCGCAGCTGAAGATGCTGCGATCATTGAGTGTTGGAAACTGCAACAAGCGTGTGTGCCCTGGGTGGGACGAAGTCCTGGAACCTCGTGGGCTTCAAGATTTGTATGGATTGAAAATAGACCGTTCTTGACTGTCTAGCAAGCAATACAGTTATGCAAAAGGACATCATTACCGGTAACTTTACATAAAAAACCCGTCAATAAAATTGACGCAGAGCTCTGGATGATCCGTGAAGGTAGACTTTGATCATGAATCATTGGGGGTAGGAAGACTGGCAAGTCAGCTACCTCCCTCACACCAACCTGCCAGCATTCCTACCCCTGATGCTTTCACTTGATTTAGCTACTTCAACATGAAGATGCAAAGCTTTCTAGGTATTTACCATGACTGCAGCAGCTCTGGTCTTTCTAGGCAGTGTTCCACCACACCGACCTCCATCTCCCAAAGTCTGGTATGACTATGATGCCGTAGTCCTCACCATATCAAGCAGCAGCATTGTCACCCTGTGTCAAGAACTCCGTAAACTTTGCCAGTCATTTTCTATCAAGCAACAGCAGTGCAATAGTGATGCACTAAACAGCAGCAGCAGGAACCTTGGCCCCCATGAGCTGCCCGCCCCACGTCACACCTGCTGCGCTGCTGCCCGCCAGCACAGCATACCCGCTCACTGTGTTGTTCACTCCGCCATCACAGCAAGGCTAGCACCTAAGCTAACAACACCAGAGTAAACAGAGTCAGAAACACTAGAGTCAACAACAGCATACATAGCATGGGGAGTACCAATCAGATCAACTAACTGCTCAGCAGACATGCCCCACAGAGCGGAGCCGTAGCGCTGAACAAGAGGCAGCCAGTCAGGGGCAGGAGCACCAACCCCGTAGACCAAACGAACCGTGTCAGTGAGCTGAGCAAAGCACTGACCAGGGGGGTGAAACCGGCCACAAGGGTGGCCACGACGAGTGCCTGTCAGAACCTGGTAGGTGCAGGGAGTGTAAGCAGCACCGCGCTGGGTCTGACGCAGCCCCGACCCTGGAGCCAGCTGCTGCAGGTGCTCCCTCTCGAGAGGTTGGTCCTGCGACTGTCCCTGTACAGGTCTCTGGTTCTGGGGGTGCTGGAGTTGGAGCTGAGCCGCGGGTTGCAGAGGACTCTTGTCTTCCGGGGGCTGGTACTGGTCGTGCGGAGTCTGGGGGTGCTGGTGCGGAGTCTGGGGGTGCTGCGTCTGGGGGTGAGGGTGTCCCTTCGGTTTCTGGAGAGCCTGGGTCTGGAGCTGGTGTTGGTGCTGCCTCTGGGGGTGGTGTGCTTGGTGCTTCGGAGGTCGACTCTGGGGCTGCCGCTGCCCCGGACACTACTCCTTCCCCCCACCCCTACCCGACCAGGTTCCAGGCTCGTGTTCGCCGTGCTCGTGAGGAGCAGCTGGAGTTGGAGAGAGAGGAGAGAGAGTTGCAGCGGCTCGAGGAGCAGGAGCGACAGCAGCAGGAGCAGCAGCAGGAGCAGCAGCAGGGGCAGCAGCCGCTGGAGCAGCAGCAGCCGCAGCAGCAGCAGCAGCAGCTGCTGCCGTCTCCTCCTCCTGTCTCGGGTCTTCGGACCCTTGGTCTCCCGTCTCCCTCTCCTTCCTCCTCCCCCTCTCCTCCCGTCTCTGGTCCTCCGCTTCCTCCTCCTGACCCCTCTCCCGCTGTTTTCCCTCGTTCTCAGTCTTCGTTGTCTCCTCCTCCTTCTCAGACTTGGGCCTCTCGTCGCTCCCCTCGTGCTCGTCCCTCGTCTCCTGTTCCCTTCACTGACCTTCGTACAGCCTTCCTTTGTTCTCGTCCACCTCGTCCGTCTCCGTCTGTGCTTCCGTCTCCTCCTGAGTCGGCCCTCACTGTGTCGCTTCCTTCTCCTGTCACTGACTACTACCGCACGTACCGTCCTGTTCTCTCTCGTGTTCTCGCCTCTCTTGTTACCCACCCTCGTGCCTCTGTGTCCTCTGTGTCCGCTCTTACTGCCGCAGTCACTGAGTTTGCCTCTACCCGCCGCCTTGACTTCGCCACCGCTCTTGTGGCTGCTCCTCCTTCCAGTCCTCTGGCCGTCGGGGGTGTGTCTGCCCTTGGCTGTGACGCCCTAGAGGACAGGCAGTTTGAGCTAGAGTTCCTGGCGGCCGCTTCCCCTCATCTCTGTGCCATGCTCCTCGCCCCTGAGGGTGACCCCGACGCCCTTGACATTCCGACTCCTCGCACTTACGCTGAGGCAGTGTCAGGGCCTTGGGCCTCTCAGTGGAGAGCTGCCATGGACGCAGAGATGGCCTCCTACAGATCCACAGGCACCTACGTCGATGAGGTTCCCCCTCCGGGGGCGAACGTAGTCGACGGCATGTGGATCTACAGGGTGAAGCGGCCACCGGGATCTCCTCCGGTCTTCAAGGCGCGCTACGTGGCTAGAGGTTTCAGTCAGCGCGAGGGAGTTGACTTCTTTCAGACCTTCGCGCCCACCCCGAAGATGACCACTCTTCGGGTGTTACTACACGTAGCAGCACAGAGAGACTACGAGTTACACTCTCTCGACTTCTCTACTGCTTTCCTTCAGGGCAGTCTTCACGAGGAGGTCTGGTTGCGTCGTCCCTCTGCCTTCACTGGCTCTTTCCCTCCTGGGACCCAGTGGAGGCTGAGGCGACCGGTTTACGGTCTTCGTCAGGCTCCTCGTGAGTGGCACGACACCCTGCGTTCTACCCTGTCTGACCTTGGGTTCCAGCCGTCTTCTGCTGACCCGTCGCTGTTCGTTCGTCGTGGCCCCACACCTTTCTTTGTTCTGGTCTACGTTGACGACCTTGTTTTCGCCACCCCTGACAGGGTTGCTTTGGCACACGTGAAGTCCGAACTGCAGAAGAGACACACCTGCACTGATCTTGGTGAGCTGCGCCACTACCTTGGCCTGCAGATCACCAGGGACAGAGCTGCTCGCACCATTACACTTTCACAGTCGCACATGGTGCAGCAGGTCCTTCAGCGGTTCGGGCTTCAGCACTCCACAGTACAGTGCACACCTCTTGCTGTTGACCACAGACTCACTGGACCCTTTCCTGACGAGCCGTTCGAGCCTAGTGGTCCCTACGCAGAGCTTGTGGGTTGCCTCATGTACCTGATGACTTGTACTCGCCCGGACCTCGCCTTCCCTCTCAGCGTTCTTGCGCGCTTTGTTGCGCCAGGGAGACACCGTCCTGTTCACTGGACAGCAGCTGTGAGGGTGGCGAAGTACCTAGCGACGACATCAGGCATGGGGCTAGTTCTTGGAGGGCAGCAGTCTGTCGTACTTACTGGTCACTGTGACTCCTCTTACGCTGACGACGCTGAGACTCACAGGTCTACTCAGGGGTACTGTTTCAGTCTGGGTTCTGGAGCTGTTTCCTGGCGGTCCACGCGCTCCTCTTCGGTCTCGACCTCTACAGCTGAGGCTGAGATCTACGCTGGTGCCATGGCGGCACAGGAGCTGCGTTGGTTGACCTTCTTGCTCACCGACCTTGGTGAGCGGCCGAGCTCTGCACCGACCTTGTTCACTGACAACAAGGCGTCTATTCTCCTTTGTCGAGAGCCACGACTGGAGAGCAGAGTGAAGCACATTCACGTCAGGTACTTTCTTCTGCGAGAGTTGCAGAGGCGTGGACAGGCTCGCTTTGAGTTTGTGGAGTCCGAGGCCAACACTGCAGACATCTTCACCAAGGCGCTTCCGCCTTGTGACCACCAGAGGTGCTGTGTGCAGTTAGGCCTTGTTGACACTGGTTCTCGTGTTGCTTAGACTTGAGTGTACTGTTTACTTTGCTTTCTATATATCTCTGTTACTTCTTGGACTGGCCTTGTGGCCACTGTTGTTTGTGCTCAGACTGTGTGGTGACGTTGTGATCCACCCTGAGCTTCGTTTCTTGGACTGGTCTTGTGACCGTACTCGTTTGGTTCTGCTAGACACCCCTCACTTAGGCTATGGGGGTGTGTCAAATGTTGTAGCCTATAGTGAGGTTTGTCTTAGGGGGTACAAAACTTAGGGTTAGCTATATGTACCCCAACCAACATCAATGCATCATCCATTCTTCATTTTGACACCCTATAAAAAGTTGGGGGGGTCTTCACAAAGGAAAAAAAATTGTAATCCCCGGGTCTTTTCATACGGCAAATATTTTTTTTAGTGTTTTCAACACCACAGTTAATACTGAAGTGCTTGGTGTGCTTTTGGTGAGCACTAACCATGCGAAAGTTGATCGCTTGACCAGTCACATCGAATTCGCCTGTCAGTGTAAGATTCTCCCCTCGACGAAGCAATTTCGCCCCCTGACATAACAATTTCGCCACCTGACGCAGCAAATACACCCCATGACGTAGCAAACTCGCCCTCAGACGCAGCAAACTCGCCCCCTGACGCAGCAAATCAACCCCGTGACACTTGAATTCATCCCGCGACAACCGAATTCGCACTATAAAATGTTTCAGTTTCAAACGAATCAGAGGAAAAGTACATGGAAAACCCCCCTATAGGGGAAGGGGGGGCTCTTATATTGATTACCCCCCAAAGGGGGGGTATAGCGTTTTTGAGGTTTAATAAAAGACCCCCCCCGTATTAGGTACCCGGGGGTGTTGTATTTTGAGGGGGTCTTCTATCCGGGGGAATACGGGTATGCTCGTAATTTTGGTACGGTACTGTTGGGAGTGAGATGTGTTAAAGTAGTAGGCAGAACGAGGAGCCATAGCTAGGTAAACCCTAGCTAGGCAAGAGAGAAATGAGCAAAAGGGGGTTTCACTAGCTGCAGTTGGGATACATATAGCAAACCCTAACTGGGTTGTACTCGCTATAGAGCACCCCACTACAGGCTAGATAATAACATTCTGACACACCCCCATAGCCAAAGTGGGGTGTAATCAGCACAATGAGCAGGCATACCGTCATCACCCGGATATAAGACAGTGTTGAATAGTAGACAGGGGTTGTCTATTATACGGGTGTCTCTTATAAACAGGCTAGCCTCATTATAAGACACCTATTTGTGTGTACGGGTTAAGAAAGTGTAGGAGTTAGGGGCAAATGTATAGCGAGGGGGTATCTTCTAAACGGTTCTTTGTCCATTTATAAGACTTATAAGACACCCTAAACCATCCCGTTTACAAGATAACT